CTCACCTCAGCCTCCCAAAGTGCTGGGATTACAGGCTGAGCCACCGAGCCCGGCTTCTGTGACTTTTCTTGATGTCAGTGGCAAGAAAACAAATGATGCGGGTGAGGTGCTGGGCTTTGTTGCGTGTTGCAATCACGTTGGCGGCTGTAGCTCTCTCCACATTGCTCATACGCCAGCAAAGCCCACGGGGAGTGCGAGTGGAAAAGTACCTGTAAATATTAAGGTTGGTTCCAGAAGTGCATTATTGGTTTGCTGTGTAATACCCTCTGGTGACATTGAGGCCTTATTAATAACTAAACATCTGTCACGACTGTAATTATATTTCTTGTGCCAGGATTGTGTTTCTACCATTGTCCTGTGTAAACACGGAAGGGAGGGTGTGAATTATTTAGGCGACTGACTTTGAGAAAATAATCACCCAGCGCTGTGCAGGCAGTAAGTTTCTGTCAACTCCTTGCAGAGTCTCAGTGTCTTCGCTGACGTTCCTTTGATGTGCTCCCAAATCTTTCTGAGAACATCGCCCTGGACCCCTGATGCGACTGCCCGAGCAACCCGGAGAGGGGAAGCCCGAAAATGAGAAAAAGGGGAAGCAAGGAGCCCCCGGAGGGGGAGAGGAGCCGCCCAGGAGCCAGGCACCCGACTTCCCCACCTGGCAAGTCTTCTTCCCCCAAACCCCAGGACCTAAATTGTTTTGCAACCCTCAGGTAGGGGGTGGTGTGGGGTCTGGGAGCCTTTGCTGCTGGGTGTCTGTCCGGGGTGGAGAGGAGGCTCTATGGAAAACACACCTGGGAGGGATTTCTAGAGGATGATCTGTGTCCACTGGGTACAGAGATTTTATCCTGTTATTTCTTGAGCCTGACAGGCTTCCATTGATTATAGTTGAGATGCATGGATGGGTTGAGGGGATGGGTTTGCAAACTGACACTAGCAAACACCGATCGGTGGGGAGGGGGGTTGTTTGCTGTTAAATGGAACAACAGATACAGCTGACAGAGTGCAGACTTGCAGCGGCATGGAGATGGGGACTTTGCATAGATAATTTCAATTAATCTGCGAATAGCTCGATAAGGGTGTTATTAAGTCCATTTCTACGGGAGGAAAGTAAGACACACGTTAAGGAACTTGCCCCAGACCTCACAATCGGAGGCAACCCTGGGATTCCTATTTAAGTCTCTCTGAATCCAAAACTTATGTCCTTAACCGCTTAGCTACCCTGCCTCTCCCTGCTCGTTGATGAGGGGGTCAGTTCAGGGTGAAGGGGTTTATACACTACTGGGCCAAAGGCTTCCCTGGGTTTTTGATCTTGCTCTTTTTCTTTTCCTTGGAGACTCTCATGGCTGTAAAAACACAAGAGGAATTTCAACTCTGGGTGGTTTTATATAGAAGGAAATTTTGATCTGTGTGATGCTGGCATCAAGGAATTGGTCTGTGGTGAGTCCTATAAATGAGTATGTTTTGAAATTGTCTTCCCAAGTCTGTTGAGAATGAGATATCTAGCCTTATCTGCCACCAGTTCCCAGTGGTGGCTGGAAGCATTTATGGCAAGTGCAGTGAGTTTAGAGTTAGACTTATGGGGGGCGGGAAAACGGATGTGGAATTATTTTTGGTGACTAAAGTTCTTGATTTTTAGTAATTTCTCCCAGAAGCAGGGAGCTAGACTGCAGGGCCTAGGGACAAGATGCTACAAGACTCTACACAGAACCTTCTCCAACACAACTCATTGCTTGGGAAGTCAAGGGTGGGAGCTGACAAGACCTCTGGAAAAGGGCATGCCAACCTGCAGGTGAGCCTTTCTTATGGACTCTGAGGAAAGGTCTGGAAGAGAGCACTGTGAGGGTGGAAATAGCGAATGTGAAAGGGCAGACTCAGGGCGAGGTGCTGTTCAGGAGGGTTGGACGGGGTCAGAGGACATCCTGGGAGGGTCTTCCCATCCCAACTGATCCCTTCCAGGTGACAAACCCCACGGCAGGCATGGTGCAGTCCAAGGGTAAAATTCCTGGTTGGACTTTCCCCAGCCTGGGATGTCTGGTAGAATACTGAGCACTTGCTCTAGATAAAGGAAAGGCATATTGAGGGAAGGAAGGAAGGATTGAGGCAAAGACATGTTTCTATAAGTCCTAATGGGGACTGAGGCAGATGACAAGTACGGCTGATTCTGCAGGGGGAAAGGACATTTGTCTGCCTTTGTAGAGATAAAGATTTCACATAGTAAACAGACAAAGAAATCTTTGATAAAGTCAGGAAGATCCGTTTTGCTTGACATCCTCCTATGTTACGTTTCTCCATTTCTTCCTGAGTGTTGGGGATTTAGTTTTTGGCCAGAGCTGTGAGCAGCGTGAATTAGGTAGCGTAGTCTCCTCTGTCTCTGAGGGACAGTAATGGCCCCCAAAGTCAGTTTCTTGCAAAGCTTCACTTCCTCCTTTAGGGGTGACCACTAACTTTTTCTGGATCACAAAGCTGAGTGTGTCTGGACTTCCTGGTTGGCTCTCATTACACACACACTTGCACACACACAAACACACACTCACGATTAACACACCTTTGTTTATTCCTTCCTTAGGGACATAATCACACATTCTGTGAGATTTCTTTGTGTGATGGGCAGAGAGAGACACCTAAAAGGCAGAAGAATGAGGTAGGACCACGGGCGGGAGTTCTGTGGCCAAGGTCTCAGCAACAGGGAGTCGGACATGGAGGGGAGGGGGAGCACAGCCCAGTGGAACAAACTCTCACCTCGGGTTCCAGCAGCAATGCCTCTCCGAGTGCATTGTTTCCTGCCCTTCAGTTATTTGGCTTCAGTTATTTCAAGTAAAGCAGAGCCCAGGGGTTGGGGCTGCCTACAGCCCATCAGGGCCCTCCACAGACCCCAAGCCACTCTCAAAAAAGAGCCACCACTACTTACAGACTGCGATGGTCTGAGTGGTTATGCATGACCTGGGCAGGGTAGGCAAAATTAGAAAGTAGGGAAGAATTCCCTGATGTTTCCCATCTTCCCCCCCCGCCCCCAGATCGCATTCACATCCCCATTTTGTTTGCAGGGGACAGAGGTCTAGTAGAACTCTTGGAAGTAAAAAGTGAAACATTTTAGGTGTGGGCCCAGGGGGTCTTGTGGAATCCAAGGCTTAAAGATGAAGTTGGGCCTTAGCAATGAGTGAAACGAGGGCCTAGACGGAGAAAGCTATGTCTCTCTGCTTTCTCTGTCCATATAGAAATGATCTCCATCAAATACTTCTTCGTTTAACAGCCAGCCTCAATAGAGAATCAGTATGGTCTCAGTCCTCAATCCCCTGGAAAATGAGTGAATTGCTGCCCACTCCTGCTCAGGTCAACAGTGCTCTAGGGAGGAGGGCCAGGTGTTTGAACTTGGCTGCTGCCACTATAAACAGGTAGATGGAAAATGGGGCAGGATAATGGCCAGAGAAGTGGGGACCTCGTCATCCCAGTTCCTTGAGATGTTGGTTTTACATCCCGTTCTTGAAGTTAGTTGGCCCTCCATGAGGTGCTGGTAAGGTGGTTGCTATCTAAGTTGAAATCTTTGAAGAAGGTTGTCCCCATGAGACCCAAATCAGTGAACCATGACTAGTGGAACAAAAGCAGCGGGGTAGACAGAACTGGTTGGAGATGCTGCAGTGGAGTATGGAGAAGGAGATTGCATACAAAAGACAGGGATGGGAGAGGTAGGATTCCACCCTCCCCACCTCCAGCCTTCCTCTCAGTTCATTCTCCTCCTACTTGTCAGCCTATACCATTGCAGAAGAATTCCCCAGACTGGCCGTTCCCATCTTGGTTAAGGTGTGGACAGGCTTTCAATGTATCTGAGGAAGATAACCTATAGAGGGGACTTCCTTCTCTTCTGCTCCTTTTCCTCAAGAATCTCACAAGGGAGCAAAGCAATGAAGTCTTTGCTTGTTTCTAACCTGTCCTGGCTCCTTGACCTGGAGGTCTGAAAGGATATTCTTCCCCTTTCATCCAGACTATGATCTGGGGCGCTTTGGACCAGGTCTGGAACTGACTCATGGACAACCAGTAGGGCCATGATGCTATCTACAAGAGAATCTCCAGGTAGCTTCAACAAACAACAGCTAAGTAAACAACCCGACTACTGTGGTGGCTGCTCCAGCCCTATCCGAAGGAAGAGTTCCTCATATGGGGAGAAATGAATGCGCACTATTGATATATGATCTAAAAATAACCCATGTTCCAAACAAAGTGTTTTTTAGTATTTTGTAATAAAAACATGTAGACAAAGCAAGGATTTAGAATGCATGACTCATTAAATTGCTGAGTCTGAAAGCAATGAAGACTCAAAGGGAGTTTTTTTTTTCTCTCTATTTCTCCCTCCCACCCCTGCTCTGAATAGCTTATAAAAAATGTCTCTACATAAGCAGGGTCCATAAACTCTTCCATGACTTAAAGTCCTACACAGCGAGAGGCTGAAGAAACTCAACCTTTATTGCCTGGATGCTGAGCGGATCTCTCTAGAAATTAGAGTCATCAGCTAGAGTCCCCCTTGCCTGTTCATCCTCACTTCTCTTCCTCATGTTTCTCCTCTCTGTCCCTAACAAGTGTCTAGGGACTTCCATGACCTCATTCTGGCTAATACTCCTCCCTCCCTGCAAATCTCTGTCCTGCTAGACCTTAGCAGTCCTGAGCTTGTTACCCCTTCCAATACTCTTTGCGGAGTATTAACTTCAGAAGTTGTGTCTTAGGGGAGAGTGTGTACCACATGGCACTCTAGCAGGATGAAGCAATGGGTCCCTCCATCAACTCACCTGGGCTCATCTGTGGCTTGTAATGGAAGGATTGTTTCTGACCTGTGGTGTTCAACATCTTTTACTTAGATAAAAACTTTTCTAAAATCAGTTTTATAGGGAATGCCAGTACTTAAAACAGAAAAGAGGACCCACTTAGGTTGGAAAAGGTGTGTGTGTGTGTGTGTGTGTGTGTGTGTGTGTGTGTGTGTGTGTGCATGTGTGAAGGTCCTCCAGGATCCCTGAGAGGAGCAGCGAGATCTTCATGTAAATATCTTTACTTGTAGGACTTCATATCCTGGTTCCTTACAGTTGTGCAAAAATCTTTGCTACACTGGGGAGCAAACTCATCTCCTACCTCTCCTTGGTGCCATTACCAGCTTTCCTTCCAGTCACCCCTACACTCCTGGAATAACCTTAGCAACTTTTCCAGTCTTACATCTGCCCTGAGTCCTGATTTCATACCACAGAGATAAATGAAAATGGGAACGGCCAGGTAACATTCTTACCTCATGTTGCCTCAATTTCAACTCCAGTGACTTCCTTTCCTCTTGATCTTCACACACCTGTGGCCTCAACCTCGATCATGTCATTCCCTAGAACACGGCATCTCTGAGAGTGCATGCTGCAATACTTTTCTCTGTGACAACCTCGTCAACAGCTATTTTCTGTTGCTATTCCTATTTCAGGATGTGGAGCATTCTGAAAAAAAATCCTACACGGATGTTGGACATCGATAGATGAGCCTACGTACTCATAACCTTCCACCCCAACCAGGTCCTCAGTGTGAGTCAGTAGTTCTTCTACTTCAAGCCTGACTCATTCTTCTAAGAATGCTGTCACTTCCTCACTCACAAATAAAACAAAGACCCCAGGCAGAAACATCTTCAATTCCCTCCCT